ATTCCTTCTCTTTGTTATTCATTTCTGTTATGGCATTCTTCAGTTCTGATTGATTTTTTAAATATTTTCTAGTTCCTTTTAAAATTCTTACTGTTTATCTATTCTTTTCCCTAAATCAGTTAACATTCTTTTTTTTTTTTTTTAACATTCTTATTACTAGTGCTTTGAACTCTTTATCTGGCAAATTGTTTATTTCTGTTTCATTAGTTGTTTTCTCAGAGGTTTTCCCTTGCTCTTCCAATTCAAACAAACCCCTTCTGTCTTCTTTTGCTTACCTTTCTCTGTCTCTATGAAATTAGGTGAAACAGTTACCTATTGCAATCTTGGAAAGGGGTATCCTTGTGTGGGAGCCACCCACACAATCTGCATGCAGCCATGAGCTTGGTGGGGGAGCCAGATCTGACATGAACATAAGTCACATCTTTCTCCAGGGTTTGCTGGCAGCCATCAGCTGGTTAGAAGGTGGGGCTACAGAGGTATGCCCACAGCCTCCAGGGTGGTGGTAGGAACCTGCTGCTCAGAGACCTTTGTAGTTTCAGTCTGCCCTCTCTGCACTGTTTCAGAGGTCAGCAAGTCTGTGCTTGTTCCCCGTGAGTGGAGTCCAGGTGTGAGAGGTGACTTCCCTCATTTTCAGTGGCTGTCACTGTGCTATTGGGGCCATGACTGGGTCTCGGTTGCTGGGGTCGAAGTTCTGAGGGGTCGGGTCCGTGCTAGCTCTGTTCCCTTTAAGTGTGTGTTCTCTGCCCCCATCACTGGCACCCTCACCCCAGAGAGGAGCAGTGCTGGAGCAAAAGAGATTTGTGGTGGTGCTTGGAGCAGGCTGCGGCAGTCTGGCCAGTCAGATCTAGAGAGCTTCTGATGTGCTGCCTGTGTGAGCAGTGGTGATGGCTGCCCCTCCCCTGCTCAGACACTGCTCCAGCTCCGAGCCTCCTCTGTCTCTCCACTCCGCTGCTGCCGTGCTCACCCTAGAGTGTAGCATCAACAGAGAGCACGCAGGACCTGTGTGCGGGATCGGTATGGGTCAGGCCTGGGCTGTGGAGGTCTGGTCACAGTCAGCAGACAGGTTCTGAGGGACCACGTGGGTCAGCGCGTCATGGCTCTCCCCTCCCTACTTAGACGCGGCTCTGGATCTGGGCTCACTCTGTGCCTCTTGGCCGAGCTTTCCTTTGGCCCGGACAGCCCTCGCCTGGGTGTGGAGCTGCTTTGTGGAACAAGTGAGGTCAGAGCTGTTGTTCAGCTCAGGCTAGGGTGCATACCAGGGCGGTGGTAGGAGACTAGTCAGAGACCTTTGCAGTGTCAGTCTGCCTTCTCTGCCCTGCTTCAGGGATAAGCAAGCCTGTGCTTGCTCCCCGTGAGTGGAGTCCAGGCTTCCCACAGCCTTTGTGTTTGTACTGTCGTCCCTCCAAGCAGCCAGGGGATCTCATTTTCCTGCTGTCTTCCTGGGGCACCCAGTATGTGGCTGGAACCACTCACTCCACAGGGAGGATCTCTCTCTGGGCTCTTGTGAGTCCCCTCCCAAGGCACGAGTCCTGGCCTGATCACTGCTTCTCTCTTCCTACCTGATTCTCTGTGACTTTCCTACAGCCGTGTTTGTGCAGGAGGTTTTTGCCTGTCTCCAGCTGGTTTTCAGTGAGCATTGTTCCACATGTGATGTAGTTTTGATGTGCTTGTTGGGAGAAATGAGTTCCCCACCCTCCTACTCTGCCACGTTGATCTGTTTTTGACACTCTGGCTTGTCCTCTATCTTTTCTTCCCATCCAGTAGATGAAAAGATGTATCTATTAGCTAGGCCCAGGATATTTTCAAAGGTGTTCCAGCCATTTGTGTCTCCTGGATTTCCAGTTTGTATCATCTGCCCAGTTGGATTGGTTGTTTTGGGTTTTTTGTTTTTCTTATGGATCTTAATAAACAGATTTACTTGGGAAACTTTTCTGTGAAACTCAGTGTGTATTGCTGTTGTGGTAACAGGATTGTGTGCCTGATACATTTCCTAATTGGTTATTATTGGTGGTAGGAGTCCCTGCTCTGAGTACTTGATCTTATATGCTTGCATTTCTTGAAAATAATTTGTGTGCCCTCTGTGGCTCTTTATCGCAGTGTCCCTGAGATTTCCTGAGGGTATTGTGCAGGCCCTTGCAGAAATATCATAAGTTTACCTTGTGAATACCTTTTTGGACAGTGGTGAGTATATGGCTAGTCATGTTGACTATGTTGACTCATATACTGGTCGTGTCTCTTGACTTTATCCACTGAAAGCAAATGGATATGAAAGTTATAATGCATAGAAAAGAGACCTGTTTATCTTTGTATCCTCAGCACCATAGTAGTCAGAGTGGACACTCAGTATCTAAAATCAGTCACTATGATGCCATAAGAAGTTGGTTTTCAAACTTTCTTTTTGCAGCTGAAGTACCCATGAGAAAAGTTCTCAACCCTGGCTGCATATTAGAATCACCAGGAGAATGTTTGAAATATTTATGCTCAAATATTTATGAGCTGGCAGAGAATTGGATTCAGTTTGACTGAGATGGGACCAGAGCATCAACATAAAAAAAAAAAAAAACAACTTGTTAGGTGGTTCTACTGAGCAGCCAAGGAAGAGAACCACCACTGGTCCAATAGGTAGACTCTACAAGTAGAGTTCGAAATTGCGTGGGGCTCGCCTTCCCCTCCCTTTGGCCCCTGGTAGGGCTTTGTTGAGCACAGTCTGAAAGCCACATCCCTGTGGGCTTGGAGCTGAGGATGGGGCGCCCACTTGCTGGTGGTGACCGTGTTCAGGGCCTGGGCTGCTGCTTCACGTGCCAGAAGGGGAAACAGGCAGAGATCGTGGTTCAGCCAGGCGGAGCCTAACAGCCGCCCCTGTGCTGCGGTTGCCCAGCCTGGGAATAGCTGGGGGAGGGTGGTTGGAATTCAGTGTTAGACCCCAGCGGTGCTTGTGTCCCTTCGGCCAAGTGGCCCACTGCTTCTCCTGAACTCCTTCTCCTCTACTCCTTGTCACTTTCAGGAAGGAATTACTGACATAACTACAGCTCTCCCGAGGGCATGTTAAAATGAGGATGCTATGCCAAGCCCAAAGTTGCTATTGATTACAGCCAAGGTTTGGAGGTGGTGGTCCTTTTTATTAAAAATGATCATCTCATGCTTTTCATGCACACTTTTAATGTCTAATTTTGAAATTTCCAAGGATAGCAATTTATACAGGAGCTTCTGCACCCATCCTGCCGATAATGGTACTGAGATCCACAGAAATTGTACCTTGCCTTAGACCACACAAGGAAGCATGAGCCTCGATTTCAGACCCTGATGCTCTGACTTCAGAGGCCATGCTTTTCCTATCTGTTCTGGTCCATTTTTCCCGTGAGTAGCCCTCTGTCAAGAAGAGGGGTGCAGTTATTTATACACTCCATTACCAACACACCACCTCCCTCTTTATCTGTCACCGTCTCCTCTGCTGGGAAGGCTGTCTGTCCAGCTGAGGTTGTGACCTGGTGCACAGAGAGTGGAGAATGCTGCAGAGGCAATGGATCTGACTTCAGTTCATTTGTGGGTTTCTTTCTCCCTGCTATAAATTGTGACCCAAGAGTTGCTCTCAGTTCTATTCCGTGACTGCCAAAATGACTGGAGGGCGGGCCCTGTTATCCGACACTCGACACTCGTTACCCATCACCCTCCAGCACTGTAGACACTGTGGCACCTGTCAGAGCTGATGATAAATATCTAGGCCAGTGGTTTTTAAAAAAGATCTTTGCAGTTGAATGGAATGCTCAATCAAGATGACAAGGTATTTTCAAGAAATAAGTAAAGCACTGAAACCTAGCTTTCTCTTCTTTTCTTTCCTCTTGGCTGCTCCTATATGACCTGATGCCAGTGGTCAGTCTGCTTGGCTGTCCTGCCTCTTCTGAGCCTTTGCTCAGATGTTGTCCCTACTGCTACCCTGTCTCCACCTTATACTGCACCTGAGGAGGGAAATCTCATCTCCTTTCTTTCCACTCTTCCCATTCCTGCCTCACACCCTATAAGTTTCCAAGTGCTGTTGATATATTTCCCTCATTGTTCCAGAATTGTCCAGTTCAGTTGCCACTTCCCGGACAAGCCACCATCTTTGTGTTGGCCAGCCTGCGCCTGGCCTCCTGGTCCCACTCTTAGCCTACTTACTGTCTGCCTTGTATCAGAGGGCTGATAGTATCTCTGTGCAGCTTCCGGGGTGAGCAAGCCCTTTGACACCACCCCTTTATCTTAGCACCCCTCCCCCTATTTTCAAATACAGTGTTATTCACACAGAAGTCATTAAGATACCTTGCTTGATTGAATTACTCCTGACAGGTCTCATATCTGGCTGACCTGAGCAACGCTTCTGGCTGCCCGTTCGCACTGGCTTTCCTCCGCAGTCGCTCCTAGGGCCTTAGGTGTGGTGCGCACCACCTCTGTGCTCAGGGTGGGCCTGTGTAGACTTGGGGCCCCTGCCTGGTGGGATCTGCCGTGTTTGAGAAGGAGCGGCGTGCAGTTGGGTCAGGAGACAGTGTCACCCGCACCCTGACCCAGAGGCCTGCAGGCCCCCCTTACCAGACTCTGTGCCACGGCCCCTTTGCCTTGGCAGACTGCCTTGTCACCTGTTTCTTGCCTGGAGCTAAGCATGCTCATCCCCAGAATGTTCCAGGTGTTCCCTCCTCCCCGTGCTCATGCACCTGTCTGCTGCTGCCCTGCTCTAGTCCCTCTGTCCCTCGGAAGCCTGCTCTCCCCCATCCTGGCTCTCGTGGGCGTCTCCCTGATCCCTCCCTGACCCCTCCCCCATCCTCCCTGACCCCTGTGGCCTTCTCCCATTGGCGGCTGTGAGCGTGTCTCCCTGGCAGGGACCCTGTGCTAGCATACCTCCCCATCCCCAGCAGACCTGGCACAGACCCCGCTGGGGCCTCAGTGACGACACTGCAGGTGGGAAGCTCTGCTTTCCTGGACTCCTCCCCTCCTTTGCCTCCTCCCGATGGAGCACTTGGACACAGATGCCAGGAGGAAAAAGAGCACTCCTTTATTCCCTGTGGGAAGGACTGCTAGGGAGCAGCTGGCACCTTCTCTGAGGGCAGGCTCTGTCTGAGGCCCCCCTGCAAGGCCAGAGCGGTGGTGGGGTCACGGCTGGCCCCACGGACAGGACAGGTCCAGGTAGGGGCTACTGTCTCTTCCTTAAATCTTCTCCAGGTAGGAGCCAGGGACAAAACCACGCTGCCCATTCCGTTGTACCGTCCACCAGCCATCTTCCCCTTCCAGGATGACCTCCAGGATATCCCCTGCAGAGATGTTCAGCTCGTCGGAGTTCTGGGCAAGAGAATGAAAACACATCCGGCTGAAGGGGCCTGCTGGGAGGGCCTCTGGTCAGGCGACCCCCCCACCACCCACCCCAGGCAGTAAGTGTCTCGCAGCTGGGCTGTCAGCTGAGACATGCCAGCCTCCTGGGGCTGCAAGAGAAGGCCACTCTGGGCTAGGGCAGCCCTGGGAGACCAGCCTCTTGTCCCCTTGGTTTGTCACAAGCTGGGGCTTCTTCCCTGGGTTTTCCTCCAAGCTGCTCCCTTCTCCCGCTCCCTACCTGAGACACAACAAGCTGGCAAGTCGGGGGCAGGGGTGTTTGATATTCCCTAGGACCACCAGCCCTTGCAAGCACACCATCATTCTCCTGGGCTGTGCCCCCGCCCCAGGGGAAAGGCTTTGGGAGCAGTGTAGCCAGCCAAGCCCCGAGGAGATGCCTCAGTGGATGCCAGTGGATCTGGGGACCAGCTCTGTACACCTCGCCTCAAAGCAGGGACAAATTAGAGTCTCTGGGATCTGGGTACAGCGGCCCTGTGGCTCCTTTACTCGTCCTCCCCTTGTGGGCTTCAGAAAACCAACCATGCACAGCTGAGGACCTAGTTCTGATCATGGGTGTTCTGGGCACCCATGGTCATGGGAAACAAGGCCTTAACCCACGGATGCAGAGCCTGCCCCTCAGACCACTTCCTCAGGTAGCTCCAGCTCCACCAGCTGGCTGCATATGTGCGTAGCTCACGCAGTGCCCACATCTGCCTGGACACCACATGACCCAGGGCCTGGTGCTGTTCATCAGCTTTCATTTAGCAGGTGTGCACCAGGCCCCTCCTGAATGCCAGGTGCTATTCTAAGGGCACCCACCCCAGCACTAGAAGGCCACTCTGGGCTAGGGCAGCCCTGGGAGACCAGCCTCTTGTCCCCTTGGTTTGTCACAAGCTGGGGCTTCTTCCCTGGGTTTTCCTCCAAGCTGCTCCCTTCTCCCGCTCCCTACCTGAGACACAACAAGCTGGCAAGTCGGGGGCAGGGGTGTTTGATATTCCCTAGGACCACCAGCCCTTGCAAGCACACCATCATTCTCCTGGGCTGTGCCCCCGCCCCAGGGGACAGGCTTTGGGAGCAGTGTAGCCAGCCAAGCCCCGAGGAGATGCCTCAGTGGATGCCAGTGGATCTGGGGACCAGCTCTGTACACCTCGCCTCAAAGCAGGGACAAATTAGAGTCTCTGGGATCTGGGTACAGCGGCCCTGTGGCTCCTTTACTCGTCCTCCCCTTGTGGGCTTCAGAAAACCAACCATGCACAGCTGAGGACCTAGTTCTGATCATGGGTGTTCTGGGCACCCATGGTCATGGGAAACAAGGCCTTAACCCACGGATGCAGAGCCTGCCCCTCAGACCACTTCCTCGGGTAGCTCCAGCTCCACCAGCTGGCTGCATATGTGTGTAGCTCACGCAGTGCCCACATCTGCCTGGACACCACGTGACCCAGGGCCTGGTGCTGTTCATCAGCTTTCATTTAGCAGGTGTGCACCAGGCCCCTCCTGAATGCCAGGTGCTATTCTAAGGGCACCCACCCCAGCACTCTCACCTGTGAGCACACCCTTGGGCATGCTGGTGTCCACCCAAGAAGGAGGGGAGGGCAGGGGGCCTCACCTGGGCCGTGTAGTCATAGAGCGCCCTATAGTCCTGGCCTGGCTTGGTGGGGGGCCCTGGCGCCTCTTGCACGGCGATGGCAGCATAGACACTCTCATTCCGGTCAGGGATAGGAGTCAGGGTCTCTGTGGAGGCTGAGTACAAAGTGAGGCCTGGCACCCACCCCTTGCAAAAATCAGTAGTCCCTGGAGGCCCGCCTGACTCACAGCGTCCCCAGACTTGCTCAGCTTCTCCCCATCCCCCAACCTCCCAGCTGTCGGAGGGCCCATCTGTGCCAAGTAGGCATCCTCTCCTCTTCCTCCCCCCAACCAGGGTGACAGTTGTCACCACAAATTACCCGCAGAAGCCGCTGACAGTGTGGTCTTGGGACTTCCGTGCAGCAGCCCAGAAAACCTGGGGGCAGGAAGGACAGGTGAGTCGGGGGGTGGGGGGAGTAGATGAGGCAGGGAGCCCGCAAGGTCGGCCCTAGCTTCCAGGCACAGATGTGACTTATGGGGTGCCCCTCGGCATGAGGGCTCTCTGAAGGGTGGTCCCCTTCCCCCGTGGCTCTTCCCCAGCAGCACTCTCCCAGTCCCTTATTCTGCAGACGTCTGTCTTCTCAGTACTGCTCCCTGCAGGGCCAGTTTTCTCAGTACTGCTCCCCTCAGGGCCAAACTGGTGGCTCTGACACCTCTGTGCTCCAGGGCCTGGGCCCCATGCCGGCCAGACCCCTTTCCAACCCTGCCCCCACACAGGCAAAGGAGCTTCCCCCTAGAGCTCAGCCCACTCACGCCCTGCTGGGACCTTCACTAGCCTGGCCAGCCCTGCCGCTCCCCGACCACACAAAGTGGTCGTCCAGGAGGAAGTGTTGGGCTGATTCACCCCTTCCTCTATACTTGGTTCAGACCTGGACTGAGCTAGAGTCAAGCAAGTGTGTTGAATAAAAGAAAAAAAAGGTTCAAGAAGCAAGAGGCAGACCCTGGGGCACCTCGTACGGAGGCCACGTGGGCGCTCTGAGCAGAGGTGCTGAGAGCTTCCATGAGGAGAAGCTGTTGCTACTCCCCCACCCCACCTTCCTGGCCTGGTAGGTTCAAGCTGTCTGCAAAGACCAGCTTCACCAAGCAGATCGGATGGGTGCCAGGCATGGCCAGTGCCTGGGAGAGGAGTGCAGAGGCGCAGGTCATACAGGCAGAGGAGTCTGGGGAGTAGAGTGGACCGATTTGGGGTGTATAGGAGACAAGACTGAAATAGGGACCAGGCCAGACACCCAGGGGTCTTGAGGGCTCAGTCAGGGGCAGGGCCTGTAGGAAGCTGCGAGGTGGAACCCAGAGACCTTTCCCAGGGAGCGTTTGTGGAGCTGAGGGTCCAGGACAGAAGCACATGGACAGGTGAGCGTAGACTTGGCAGGTGTGGGAAGGTCTGATGCAGACTTGCCCTGCCAGGGAGGGTTAGCCCAGCAGGCTGGGGCTGGAGGGGCCGAGCTCGCCGAAAGTGTGGGCGCCCCGCCTGCCTTCCCAGGGTTGTTTACGCTCAGCTCCATTCTTCCCTCCACTCACTTGCCCTGGCCCTCCCCAGCCCTGCCTGGCTTCAGCCGCCCCACTCAGGGGTCCCTGCCTGTCCTCTCCAGCAGCCAGGCCTCCCGCTGCGGGACCGCTTTCCCTCTTTTTTCTCTCATCAGGCCCCTCCTCTCTGTCCCTTCTCAGCCCTGCCCCAGGTGAGCTCTTCAGGCCCATTGTCTAAGTGACCACCTGTGCAGGCATCTGGCCCTCACTGGGGGTGCAGGGAGGTCCGAGTCCCCTATGGTTTTGGTGTGATGGAGAGGGTGGGAATGCCCGCCTCCTAGGGTCCTCTTGTCTCAGGGTTCCTGGAGGAGCATGCCGTGGGGTCCACGAGCCTCAGAAATAAGTCATCCTCGGAGAGCCAGGAGCTCTGTCGCCTCCCCCCCACCCACGCCCACCTTTCAAAGGCAGGGCTTCCTCTGCACTAGCTTGGAGGGAGAGAGGAGGTCATGGAGGCCTGGGGATGGGGCACAGGTGCCATGTGAAGCCCACGGTGCTCCTTTAGATGCCCACAGATGGGGCACTCGGGGAAATGACTGAGGGAGTTGGAGGGTGGGTGCACCCTGAGTGGGTTACGGTGCTCCTGGTGGGCTATCACTGTCATCACCCAAGGCCTGAGCTGGGAGGGTCCTTGGGTCTGAGTCTGCCCCCAACACTCATAGGCCCTGGGCCTAGAGGAGGTGTGTGAGCTGTGCAAGTGACATGCTGGGGCCTGTCACCAGGACCCTGGCACCTACCATAGCCAAGCCAGGGAAGGGGACTTGGAAAAAGCTGGAGAATTCTCCAAGAGTGCTGGCTGCAGGGCCCGCTCCTCTGCCCTGATCCTATGCAGCCGGTGAGGGGCCTGACAGTCTGAGACTCCAACCAGGCCAGCAGCAGAACTCAAGGGGTGAGCCCGCCTGGAGTCTCCCAGCACAGTTGCTAGTGAATAAGCAGGGTACGACTGTTTAACGCCTGGCTCCCCTTGGGCTGAGGGTGTCCTGAGGCTAGATTGAGTCTGTCTTGTCCCCCAAGAGTGCCCTGCACCTAGACCCTGGACCAGGCACACACTAGGTGCCCGGTAAATACGTGGGAAAGAGCCAGTTGCAGAAGGAGGGGCTGCCCTTTCCTGGCAGCCCGCCTCCCCCTGGCCCCGCTGTGTGTCCCAGCCGGGGGTGTCCAGCAGGCGCTCACCTCTTTATCATACCACAGGACGGCTGGATGCCAGGGCTGCTGGACAATGGGGCCACCTCCCGATCGTAGTAGTTCTGGTAAGGCACCGGCGCTGCAGGTGACAGGTGCGAGAGGCCCAGGGTGATGAGGGCGGGGCAGGCGGGACCTGTGCCCTTTGACACCTCATCCTCTCCCCCTCCGGAGGCCCAGACTAGGGCCCCACCTTCCCATCCTGGCCCTGGCCTGCCCTGGTGTTTGAGGAGGGGGCCCCCCATCACTTCCCTGAGAGATCCCACTGTGGGTACCACCAAGATCGAACATTCTAGACTCAAGATTTAGCGATGCCAAACCGTGGAATGGAGTGGGGGCTCTGAGGAGGCTCCTGCCTCTCCCTACCCCCGCCTCCCCTTGAGTGTTAGAGTGCTCCCAGGCCCTGCCCATCCTCCCTCTCAAGGAGGCAGCACACTAAGGACGCGGCCAGGGAGGGGACGCCCTGTCCCTGACCTTCCCCCGGGCCTGGCACTCATAAGGGAGCTGTGAGCCGCCCTGCTTCTGTCTGCAATTAAGGCTCAGAGAACCCGGGCCAGGCCTTCCAGGGAAGGGGACCTGGACCCAGCGGCCGTGTTGCCCGCTGCTGGGCCTCACCTGGGGGCTCGGTGCCCGTGCTCTTGGCCTGGATGAAGCCGTCAATGTCGGCGTCCACGCTGCAGCCTTCCAGCGTCACCCGCACCTCTTCATAGAGCTGGGGGTGGGAGGGGGCGGAGGCTGAGGGGCCAGGCTTCACCTCCATGCCCACATTGTCAAGCCTGCCCCCCCTCTTTGGGTCTGAACCCTCACCAGGGGCCTTGAGGTGTAACTGCCCCAGGCCTGCCTGAGGGGCTAGAGCCCTGGCTGCCAGCTTCTCCTGTTTCCTGAACACCTCGTGTGTGCACATTCCTTTGCATCCTTTGCATTCCTCTCCATCCTCTGTGGGAGATAGGACTTCCTCATTTATACGTGAGGAAGCTCCGGAGAGTGACTTGCCCAAGGTCACAAAGCAGGAATTGAAGTCAGTGTGCTGGGCTTTGGATCCAGCATGAGAGGATTCAGAACCCATACTCCCTTCTCTGCTACAGTGAGACCACCAGGTGGGCTCAAGTCATTTGGGGGGAAAGCCCCCAAAACTCCACACCCACGGGTAGAAAGGATGAGGCAGGTAACAGTGATGGGATCAGGGAGTCAGGGCTGAGAGAGACAAACAGCGAGGGCTGCATCAGCAGAGGTCAAGGCCCCTGGCGGGGAGATGCCCCTCTCTCCTGAGGGAGGCCCACCCGGCACATAGAGCTCAGTAAGGTGGGGGGAGCCAGGACACCCTGGAAATGTCTGGGGACAGAAGAGGGACTGAACCTTGGCTCCTGCAAGCACCAGGCCTGGAGCAGGGCAACCCCAGGGTCTCCCAGCCTCTCTGCAAACCTCTAAGGGGCTATGTCTGCCTTCCCTCCCCTTCCCTTCCCAGCAGAGGGAATAGAGCTCTGGGGCTCTGATAGAAGAGCGGAGGCCTTGGAGCAGGGGCAAGCAGAGAGGGCAGACGCCAGGGTAACAGCAAAGCACATCTTCCAGGCCAAGAGGCTGTGGCCTGCACAGTACTGAGCTCCCTATCTCTGGGGCCTGGGGCAGAGGCTTGGTGCTGGGCTCGGAGACCCTGAGGCTCCTCAGATGACAGTCCTCAGGTGACAGAGGACTAAGGCCTGCTCACAGGCTCAGGCGGGCCTGGCTGCAGGGTCGCTCGGAGGCTGCCCTCCCCTCACGCCCCCCACCCACCCTCTCCCTGCCTTCAGCCCCCACCTCATCGTCCTTGACGCACTGCATGGAGAGCTGGTTGCAGTGCACCCAGAGGGAGTTGCGGAGGATGGTCAGCCGGTCAAACTCCTGCAGCTGGAAGGCCTGGGGAGAGATGGGGATCACTGGAGGGCTGGGCCAGGCCAGGCCCCACCCCCAGCTCAGCTAGAGTCGACCAGCCAGACCCCGCCTGCTGAAGCCACGCCTAAAGGAAGCCTAAAGGCTGGGGTCCCCACCCCCACCTCTGTGCCAGCCCTTGAGGCTTCTGGGAAGCTGAGCTGCCTGTGGGACTGTACCCCCTGCCCTTCCCCAGACTCTACCACATCCTTGGGGTGTGTCTTAAGAGGAGCACTGGACCCTGAATCCTGTCTCCCAGGCCCTGTTCATCAGCAGAGCCCAGGGAAGCTATGGGTTCTGTTCAAGCCTCAGTTGCAGCTTCAGCCAAAAGGGACAAAGGATGCCTGCCTGCCTGCAGAAAGGGACTCCAAGCACAAAGCCAGGCAGGAGCTCCCTGGGGAGGGCCTTGGAGTGAGCGGATGAGTGAACGAATGAAGGAAGGATGGCTTTCCCCCACCGCTGCCCCTCTTCCCCCATGAAGCGGCCAGAGTGGGGACGGGCATCAGCTCCGCGCCGAGGGGTCCCTCACCTCGCAGGTGGCCCGGTGCTCCTGCTCCCACTCGCTCCGCACCTTCTCCAACTGCTCGATGTTCTGCCTGTACACCCGCTCTGGAAGTGCAGGGGGTCCTCAGGGAGGCCAGCCCACCCCTGTGCCCCCTCTGTGCCCTCCTCCTCCCTGGAGAGACCTGCCCTGGCGGCTGGAGCCGCAGGTGAATGCTCATCAGGGCCCCTCACCCCGGTACCGCCCTTGGAGAGGCACTCAGTGCCCACTGTGTTCCAGCTACCTCGGGCTGCGGCAGAGCCTAAGGTCAGAGTCTGGGCCTCTCACCGTCCCACCTTCTAGATGAGAAGCTGAGGCTCAGAGCGGGCAGCCCTGGAGGAGGGTGAAGGGGAGCTTTGGGAGCTGGTGGGCTGGGAAGCCAGCGGGCTTGGACCGTGAGCTCTGTGCCCCACAGCCAAGAGAGCACCTGGGTGTTGGGACAGGCGGTGTGGCAGAAGGCAGAGCTGTGTCAGCAGAGATGAGGGGTGTTGGGATCTTCTGGCATCAGGAGGAGGATAGACGAGACAGATGCCCAGAGAAGGCTGTGATGTGTCTCAGTGTGTATGAGAGAGAGAGGTATATGTGCAATGAGTGGGCCTGTCTCCCTCGATCAGTGGCTATGAAAGTCCTGAGCCCTGGAGCCAGATGGCTTGCATTCAAATACAGTTACACCACTTATTGGCTGTGTGACCTTGGGCAAGTTAAATAACCTCTCTGTGCCACAGTTTCCTTACCTGTTAAGAAAGGGGGATAGTAACAGTGAACACCTCATAGGATTGTTTGTGAGCATTAGTTAAAAGACGCAAAGCACCATGAACAGTGCTGGCAAATGTGAGAAAACAAATTTTTCGTTTTACTTGCATAAGGAAGCAAGAGTGAGGAGTATGGGACTGTGTCCCAAGGGTGAAGGAAGTGTGCTGTGGGGGGGGAAAGATGTCCAGGCTGCCCCACTCCGTAAGGTGAGAAGCTGGGCTAACCGCTTACCTGCCTCCATGGCTGAGTCCTTGCACTGCTTGGCTTTGTTCTGGCTCTGAGGAGGCAGAGGGAAAGCGGCCCTGAGGCCCGGCCCCGAGCACCTCCCAGCCCAGACCTTGGGCTCCTGGCCTCCCTGGGCCACCCTGAAGGGCGTCAGTCACACCCTCCCTGGCCCCCTCTCACAGGGCAGGGCGAGCAGATGCTAACCCTGAAGGGGACACTCTGGAACCAGTTGTGGGCAAGCTCCATCATTAACTCCAGCCTCACCCCACAAAGGACCACAGGCTGTTTCCAATAAAACAGGAATAAAACAGAAACCTGGTCATGCAGACACATGTGCAAACTAGACCTGGAGACCCAGAGGAAGAAGTGTAGACCAGGGCCAGGCCCTGGGGCTAGACAGCCACTGCTGGACCTGCTGGTTGGGGCTTGGGCTCTGTCCCTGACTTGCTGCCACCAACTGACCTCAGGCCCCTGCCCTCTCTGGGCCTCAGCTTTCCTGTCTGTGCAATGGGCCAAATGTGTTCTTGGGTCCTGGGAGCTTTGACATTCCCACCCTGGCCAAGAGGCCAGAGTCGTTAAGAGCTTGGGTTCTGGACAACCTGGGTTTGGGGTCCTTTCTCTGTTCCTGCATGGCTCTGAGACCTTGGACAAGTCACTCACCACCACTGGGCCTGTTTCCTCTCTGGGACATGGGCCTACTGAGCCCTTCTCTGAAGAGTTGGGTGAGGGTTAGCGTCTGCTCTCACGGCCCTGTGAGCTCTGGGCCTGGGCTGCAATGGGTCTGCTCTGAGGACTGGGTCATTGGGTGCAGCCTGGAGATGGCAAAGGGGATCAAACCGTCCATCTAGACCCTGAGATTCTAGGAAACCTTGCCTGGGGGTGTCTGCGGCACCCCTTCCTGCCCTGCCCCAGCCCCATGACATCAGCCCGCCTCAGTGACTCCACGCACCTTCTCCACCTGCTTCTGCTGACCGTTGGTGCTAATGCGCTCAAAGGCCTGTTCAGCATCGTCTGCATCCCGGCACTTCTGCTCATACGTCTTCTTGGACTGTGGGTGTGGAGGCGTGTGACTTGGGGGCCCCAGGGTGAGGCTCCTGAGCCCGACCTCCCTTCTCCCTGCCAGGGGCTGTAGATGAAAAGGGGGCCTCCACACCAGGGACAGAGATCTGCAGCTCCAGGAACCCGACAGGCCGCTGTGCCTGTTGCTGGATGGAAGCCTGAGGCCAGCCCGGTCCCAGGGCTCCTGGGATCCACACCCCAAACCCGGCCGCCCCTTCCAGGCTCACCTCCATGGCCTTCTTGTGCAGCGACAGCTTGCTCTTCTGGACACGGTCCATGACAGCCTCGTACTGCAGGGGACATGAGGCTCTGAGCGTGGGGCTGTCAGGACGCTCCCCTAGGCCAAGAGGACGGGGTGTCCCTGGGAGGAGGCCCAGCCTCCCCTCCTGGCTCTGAGGGGGCAGTGAGAGATGCCCTCCCCCTCCATCAGCCTGCTCTCTCACAACTGCTGCTCCCAACAGAAGGCTAGAGGAGCCCGGGGCATGGATGCACCCCAGGTATCCTCTCCCTGCAAACTAGCCCGCCCAGCCAGGACTTGGTCGCTAGCCAGAGAATACCCAGCCTACACACACATGCGCATGCACACACACTGTCCTTCACTCACAAGCCTCTGTAACCACACATAGCAATCACACCCGTGGGGACCCCAGCCACACTGTAGAAGGTGTCGCTCTGTCCGAAATAGCTTTTGCAGACATCACAGCCTCACCGGCCACAGGAAAGCTTGAAATAGCCATCCCGGGGCCTCGGAGATGCTCTGCAGGCAAGTCCCAGCTCAGAGAGGTCACCTGCTCCAGCACCTCAAGGCTGGGCTGATGTGTGGGGGTGGGCTTTGAGGGCCCACTGTCTGCTCAGGAACCCAAATTTAGAATCCCGAAAGCCTCAGGCCCCAGGTGGGCAGACAGAGAGTACAGCCACGTGAAATTTCTGTGGTCAGAGTCACTCATCGGAGCCGGCACCCTGCCTGTGAAGACCGAGAGGGGCCTGGTTCTGGGTTGGGTCCCTGAAGCTCGGGAGGTGGAATAAGGGTCCCATCTTGCAAGAGGGAAACTGAGGCAGAGAGGGGGTAAGTGGCTTGGCCAGGACACCCAGCCCCAGGCTGGCCCCAGGCATGAACTGTTGCTCTTTTTCCCCTTCATGGGTCAGTTGTGTAGAAGTTTCCATTTTCAATTCTTTGGACAGTGTACAAAGATGCTCCCTCTCCAAGAAGTGTTTCTGCGTGCTGACCTCTCCCACCCTGTCCAAGTTCCACCCTCATCACTGAGGCCCTGAGAGGCTGATCCTGTGTCCACACCTGCCTTCCCAGAGGGCCACATACTCAGCCAATCAGAGTCTCAGGCTTGGGAGGGGGCACTGGGACACGGGGTACCAACCCCACTTCTCATCCAAATTCTGCAGCTTCTCTGACAAGTCACCTCCAGTCTCTGTTTACATACCTCCCACGATGGAACCTCACTTCCTTTCCATGCATTGAGGGACAGCTGTCCCCTGCAGATGGTGAAGAATACCCTGGGATGCTAGGGCAAGCTCAACACTGCCCATTCCCCGCAAGCTCTGTCCACCTCGGCCTCAGGCAGCCCTGCAGAGTGGCTGCAGTGACAGCCCCCAGGTCTTCCTTTCTCCCAGATAAGCACAGTTTCTGGTGACTCCCTGACTTAGGTTGCCTCCTTTGGATACTCCCAAGTTGTCACGTACCCTCCATAGCCTGCTATAACGGGATGATCGAAAAGGCCCATGCCCTTCGCTCTTGGCATGAGACACCTCAGTGGGAAGAGCCCGGGGGAACTTCAGGCTGGAGAGCTGGGCCCTGGTTCCAGCACCAGGCCTCTGTCCACACTCTTCTCTCCTCCAAATCACCATCACCCCCAAGCCTGGGGTGCTGCCCCACCCTCCATCATGAGAGGCCAGCCTCCATTACCCCCGCAGTGACCACCGCAGTCTCCCACTGGGCCCCCCAGCACCCGCCTCACCTTCTTCCTCTGCTCCTTCTGCCTCTCACGGAACTCCTCCAGGCTCCGCAGCTCCTCACGCAGGGCCAGGGCCAGCTGGATGTGGGAGCTGCCCACATTCTCCATTTCTGGGGGCAGAGTAAGGACACTGGTCCTTGGCATCAGACCTGATGGGCCCCAACCAGTGACACACTCGCCCCTGCCTGGACCAGCCTAGCCCCAGCCCCACAGCTTGTCTCTGTCACCCCCAAGTCCTCCACCAGCCTCAGTCCCAACCAGAATCCACCCGTCCCCATCGGTGGGGAACTGGTGTTCCCCGAAGGTCCTGTCCCCCTGCAGCCCAGGACGGGGAACAGGCAGGACTTACGCTGCTTGAGAGAGTCAAAGGAGGCCCTCAGGGAGCTGCAAAACAGAAAGACCAGGGTCGGTAGGAGGACAGTGAAGGGGGACCTGAAGTCCTGGCTGGGCCCAGGGATTTTATTTTGGCGGGAGGACCCTGGGTCACTCATACACTTTGAGAAAACCCAGGAGGAGGCGTCAGGAGGCACCAGTCTGAATCAGACATGCAGGAGCTGCCCCCTCCAGGGAGGACACCAAGGAGGAAGCCAAGGGAAGGAGCTGGCTAAACATGGCAAGTGTGGAGGTGACGCCGAGCGTAGGGTTGCCAGGTGGCGTAAATAAAAATACAGGACACCCAGTTAAGTTCAAATTTCAGATAGACAACAAAAGCTTTGAATGTAAACATGGCCCATGTAATATATAGAACATACTTACCTTTTTAAAATATGTGTTATGTGAAGCTTAATGGGACAGTCTATATTTTATCTGGCAGTCCTGCCAAGGGGGCTGTCACCCAGAGCTACGAACAGAGGTGAGGTCTGAGCTAAGATGTCGGAGCTCTCTCAGGACCCAGCCCTGTCTGGTGCTGATGGGTAAGGGGCACCTTGGTCAGAAGAGGACTGATGGGAAAGTGCGTCTCCCAATCCATCCGCTCTCCAGCAGGGGCCTCTCTGAGGGGCGAGCTCCCACTCCTGGCAGAGGAGGGAGGTGACTTGGAATCCCAGGTAAGGAACCTGGCTAGAGCTTCCTGCCCTCGACTTCCATGTGTGTTAGAAGCAGACCCTGGAGCCAGATGCCTGGGTTCATTCCAAGCTGTGCCACACACTCTCTGTATGACCTTAGACAAATGGCCTAGCCTCTCTATGCCTCAGTTTTCCCTTCTATAAAATGGGGATAATGATATCACAAGCAAAACAGTTGTGAAGGTTAAATGAATTTATATGCATAAACATCTCTTAAGACCTGGTGCAAAGCAGATGCTCTGCAAGGGTTGCTGTCATTGTGCTACCCTCCCCTGAGCCCACATCTGCACAGCCTGACCAGTCCTGGGGGTCCCCCAGGCCCCTGAACCTGGCCTGAGCTCTACCTTCCAAATGCCCCACCTAAGAGCTTACCACACGCCCCCCCCATCAGAAACGCCCACTGAATTCACCTTCAGGTTGGAGGCGTCCCCTTGAAGCAGCCCCCTAGATTGGGCTCCCTTCCTGGCACCCCCTACAGCCCTGTGGGCTGGTGGGTGCCGAGTCTCCAAGTGCACAGAGACGGTGTGTGGAGGTTGCTGACTGGCTCTGAAGTGAGGCTTGTCTACACTCAAGGGTAAAATTCTCTGCTCTGACTATGGCCCCTTACCAAAGGAGGCAAAAATATGCCGCCGCTCCTTGCTCAGCAGGCCACCTGAGGAACCACAGCTAGTGAGGCTGATGGTGGCTCAGAGGGTAAAGAAAGAAGTGAAAGTGAAGTCGCTCAGTCGTGTCTGACTCTTTGCAACTCCATGGACACCAGGCTCCTCCGTCCATGGGATTTTCTAGGCAAGAGTACTGGAGTGGGTTGCCATTTCCTTCTCCAGGGAATCTTCCCGACCCAGGGATTGAACCCGGGTCTCCTGCATTGTACACACACTTTACTATCTGAACCACAGAGGGTAAAGAATCTGCTTGCAATTCAGGAGACCTGGGCTCAGTCTCTGGGTCAGGAAGATCTCTGGGAGAAGGGAATGGCAACCCACTCCAGTATTCTTGCCTGGAGAATTCCACGGACAGAAGAGCCTAACAGGTCCATGGGGTCATAAAGAGTCAGACATGACTGACGACACACACACATGCACACACATACACACACACACACGCCAAAGCTTGCCGGGTGAGGCGTCCTGTCACTGGCTGCATCCCTCTGCAGAGCAGCGTGCCTGCCCCCTGGTGGCCATATGACCACATGACACCCAGCGATACAGCCCTGCCCACCCGCCTGCATGCCTGTGAGCGTGCGTGCTGCGCCGCTTCAGTTGTGTATGACTCTTTTCAACCCTATGGACGGTAGCCCTCCAGTCTCCTCTGTCCATGGGATTCTCCAGGCAAGAATCCTGGACTGGATCGCCATGCCCTCCTCCAGGGGATCTTCCTGGACCAAATTGCAATTCACTTCCTGGATCAAACCCGCGTTCTGTTTTGTCTCCTGCATTAACAGCGAGGTTCTTCACCACTAGCACCACATGTGACTTCACCCGCCAGCATCTCCTCACCATCCTTGCAAGGCAGACTTCACAAGGGGCTCCCTCCTCCCATGGAGACACAGGAGGCTGCCCAGCAGAGCAGCAGCATCACCTGGGAGTTTCTTGGAAGCCAGCTTCTCGGGCTCCACTGCTGTCCTCCGGGAGCCGAAGCTCAGAGGTGGGGCCTAGCACACTGTTTCAACAAGCCCCTGGGTGCTGCTGAGGTACGTTCCAGTGCTGGCCTCATTATTTAACGCTCACAACTCTGCCAGGCAGGGAGGGCACCATCATTAGCCCCATTTCACAGATGAGAAAAACAAAGATCAGAGAGGTGACAAAGCTGACCATGGCTGCACAACTGGTAAGAGGTGTAACCTTCTGCTTCTTACCAGAGGAAGGAAGGGGTGATGGCAGGGTGACCCCACCTGCCTTGGTAGGGGGTGGAGAGGTCAGGACTCTAACAGAACTGACACTTCCCCAGTGGTTACACCTCCTTCTCGCACATGCATCTCCTGCCTCAGTCTCCCCATTTACGGTTAGAGCCTCTCTAGGCCCAGCACGGCCACGTCTCTACACCCCAGCCCTCACCCACAACGTGACTACATCCTGCCCAGACCCCTCCTGCAACCTACTGGTCCTCACTTCCCTTTGACCCTCACATCTCATAGACAACTCAGAGTGTCCGAAACTGGGCTCTTCACCCTGCACACCTGCTCCTCCCACGGGGCTCCCTTCTCAGTAAAGGTACCACCGCCTACCAGGTTACGCACACCTCCCCCTGCATCACCTTCCCTTATTCACCTCCCAAATCTATCCATCCGCCTCTTACTGCCACCACCCTAGTCCCTGCCCCATCACCTCCTTCCCTCCTACTTCACTCCTCATCTCTTACCCTTGTTCTTTGCCCAGTCATTTGGCCAGTTTCTCCTATATACCGTGTTCCCTCTTGCCCCAGGGCCTTTGCACATGCTAATTCCCTATGTGCAGCATCTTTGCCTGGCTCTCCCTTCTGTCTCTTCTGAGCACGTGTTCCTGTTGTCATCCTAGGCTGACACATTGTCTATCACTGCACTGAAATAAGAGCCTAGTGAACGCTTGGTTCCTCTCCCCATTGTCCCCAGGATCACAGCCCAGTGCATTAAACTCAATACTCAATAAACCCCAAGGCCTTGCTCAACTTCAGACCACTCAGAGAAATCATCACCAAGATTTCCCAGAGACTTTCGAACTGTGGTGCTGAAGAAGACTCTTTGAGAGCCCATTGGACTGCAAGGAAATCAACCCTGAATATTCATTGGAAGGACTGATGCCGAAGCTCCAGTACTTTGGCCACCTGATGCGAAGAGACGACTCATTATTAGGCCCTGATGCCAGGAAAGATTGAGGGCAATAGGAGAAGGGGACGACAGAGGATGAGATGGTTGGATGGCATCACTGATTCAGTGGACATGAGTTTGAGCGAGCTCTGGGAGATGGTGAAGGACAGGGATGCCTGGCGTGCTGCAGTCCACTGGGTCACAAAGAGTCGGACACAACCGAGCAACCGAACAACAACTGCTCTCCTGTGTCTCCGCCATGTGTCAAGGCTGGGAACCCCTTGCAGGCCTCTGCCCTCTGTTGTCAGTCCCCAGTGTCTGCCTGTTAACTCTTCCCATTGCCCTTTGCAACCTGGCTCTCGGGACACTCAGCCCAGAATTCTGTTTCAGACAGTTTGAATTTCCAGAAGTGTCTCCTTCTGTACTTCTGTCCCACCATGTGACCCACACCATCTCATGACCCCTGCTTTGCCATCCTCACCCCTGTCCCCTGCCAGCCATGAGGCTCCTTCCTCCCAGCTCCTCTCACTGCCCCACGCCCCTGCTGGAGGCTGGAGGCTGACCTCCTTAGAGGAGGAGGAGCCCTGATAAGAACCGGGGCCCCCTCTCTCACTGCAGTATCCTCAGTGATACCTTCTTTCTCTGAGCTCAGAGGAAGAGAGATGATGGGAAAAAAAAAAAAAAAAACCCTTCTGAGAGGAAAGCAGTGTCTTAGGCTTGACAACTGGGGGCGAAGCAGGGACATAAGCGTTTAAGGATTCAAGTGGGGGCTGTCCTTGCTCACAGGTACTATTGGGTTGGCCAAAAAATTCAGTTGGGTATTTCATAACATGGAAAAATCCGAAAGAAATTTTGGCCAACCCAATACAAACAGATGCACAGGAAACTGACCCCAGCCCTGCCTCGATCCCCCTTCTTTTCCTGAACTCCGACCCTGGCAGATTCCACGGGTGGTGCAGCACTCAGCGCCCTACCCGGGGCAGGGTGAGCAAGAGCGGGAGATGACAGCTTTCTGGGGGAGGCGGTATTTCAGGCAGAATTCACAGGAGAAACATGAGGGCATCAGTCAGAGCAAAGGCCCCAAGGTCAGAAGGAGAGTCAAGGTGAGCTTTCTGCAGGGTTGGACGTGTGCTTTAGGCAATACTGATAAGCCGCCTGCACCCACCTAGTGCTTCTTTAAAAGGCACCGAAAGAGCTTGTGGGAATTCCCTGAGCTGGGGACCTTATCTGTGTGTCCCTCATTGCCACTGCCCAGCAGATGCTTGCTGAGCTCATGTGTGAACGAGGTGAGCGCTAAAAGTCACCTGAAGGCCAGAATAACCTCATCTCAATGTTTGTGGCTGAGTCTCAGATCTTCTGGCCAATCTGAGGGCAGGGGATGACGCAGAAATGCTCTGTCTTCAGGCGGCAGGGGTGGGGGTGTCTGGACGGCTCCCCCCTCTCAGCTCTCACTGGGCTATTTCTGGGGTCACGGAAGCCCTTGGCTTTGGTCCTCCTCCTCCACCCCGTTCAGTCTATGCACCCTCAGCCCCCTCCACTCATCCTCAGAGGCTGAGAATAAGCATCCCATGGGAGACAGGGGGCTTGGCCATGAGGAGGCACAGGGCTACCCCCCTCCCCGAGTGGCAGATGGGCCTTGGAAGATGAGCTTCCAGCCCCCACATGGAATAGCCAAGCCAGCTTTGCCAGGTGCCAACCTCACACACAAGCTCACAGTCTCCATGGCAACAAGGACGCGACCCATGTTGTCATGGTTGCCACTCACCCTACGCACAGAGAGCCCCTCCAGGTTGGTGTGGAACAGGGTGACCTGGTCTAAGCCAAAACGCTGACAGGCAGGCAAGGCCAGAGTGTCTAGGAGAGCTTCCTGGAGGAGGTGGGGCATGAGAGGGTCCTGAAGGAAGGTTCTGATGCAAAAGACCGGGGACGAGAGTGAGGTCACCCCCAGTGGGCTAGACCCCAGATTCAGAACAGTGGGGCCCTGTATTTTATTTTAAAACCTTTGAGTCCTCATACCGACAACACAGCTTGGGGCATGGCACACACTTAGATGGATGATGGATGCTTGACCCATAGTTAAAGAAAGCAATGACTTCATGATCTCACCTTAGGACACACCTCAAGGAGCAACACTGATTAAGCACCTTCGTGCATCGTCAGCTGAGCTGGGAGCTGCAAGGGAGCAGGGCCCTAAGGGAAGCAGCAGGTGGGCTGGGATAGTCCAACCCCGCCTCCTGCTTCTCTGGCTCTAAATGTGCCCTGAGCTTTCCAGCCTCCAGCCTTTGTCCATGGTCCTCTCCCAGGAGGTGCCCTCCACTCTGCCCTGCTCCTCTGGCCGCTCCAGCTCACTGGGGAACTCGGGATGGGGCTGCTTCTCACATGCACTGCTCCCAGCCTGCTCTGGAACCTGTGCAAGGGGCAATGAGGCCCCTGTGGGTTTTGTTCCTGCCTCTCCTGCTGCTGGGGAGGCTGAGCCCTGGGGCCTGGCCCTGCCAGCCCACACTCCAGCTCCTATGTGGTAGGCAGCAAGGTGGACCCTGACTCTGAGCTCCCTGCCCTGGCCTGGGGCTCCACCCTGGTGCTCCCACCTCAGAGGGAGGCTGTCCCTCCAGGGGCCCCACCCTCCAGCTCTCTGGGCCAGAGAAGGGCTGGGCCTCAGAGGAAATGGTCTAGACAGGCCAGGCAGTCTCCTCAGCCCTAAACTAAGCCAGGTGACCCCAATTTGTCTGACTCATGGAGGGGCCCATGAGCGTACTCATGAGAGCGTAATGACCCTCAATGTTTCTCAAGTACCACTGTGGCTTAGGGCTCTCTGCTTGACATTGTGACTGCCCAGAGGAACTCATGACTGTGACTTTTCCCAGCTGAGGACCCAGGACTCAGAGAGGGGGAGTGACCACTCCAGGGTCACAAAGCATATAGGGTAGGGCAGACCTTGTCCCACTTGGCCTCCTACAGCCACACAAGGAATCAGGGCCACCCAGAGCCTCGCCCTGGCCACTTCATGGCTCTAAAGATAGGGCCAGACACTGTGCCCCTCTGCACCCTTCCCACTGCCCACCCGGCTCCTTTCCACTTCATCCTCTTCACTGCTGGCTTCTCTTTCCCTGTTTTAAGTCCCCTGTGACTCACAGCCCCCTGAGCGTGCCTCACATTTTCCGCCTCCAGCCTGGCCTCCCACTGTGGCCCTGCCTGGAGCACCCGCTCCATATCCCCCAGTAGGGCTTGTCTCTCACTGGGAAAGTTCTCCTTTTCCAGCAGCCCTGGGAGATCAGGAGGCGGGACTCCTGGATCATGCTCCCTTGATTCCACCCCTGCCTGGGAAGACAAAGAAGGTCCCCATTCATTTTCCTTACTGTGTCCTGGTAAGGAATGCCCTCCCCTGGGTACCCAGCCTGTACTCAGCCTCAGTCCTGCCATTTTTATCTGCTCAACAGCCCACTGGAGCGGATAGATGAGAACCCAACTCAGAGAGGTTAAGTGACTTGCCCACAGTCACACAGCTCATAAAGGCCAAGCGGGGACTAGAGCTCCTACATTCTTACTCCTGGAGCTGCGTTCACGCTTTCTGCTCCAAGGCAGGACCCTTGGGCATTGAGCATCCATATCTCCTGGCTCATACCACTCTTCAACCTTCCTCTAGCCTTCCCCGAGTCCTCTCTGGCTCCAGGTTCCAGGTTGGAAGCAGGGTCGCCTGTGTCTTTAGGAGACCTGGAGAGTGTTGTTTATTCATCTCAAATGAGGGGACCGGGTTCCAGTCTTTGCAGCTGACAGGCTCCGTCCGGGGCCACTTTCCTTGAGCAGAGCCAGACCCCTGTGGGGAACAGGGGGCAGGGGTTGCTATGGCAACTGCAGGCTGGGTCGGGTCTCTGGGCTCCTGGGTAGGAGGAGGAGGAGGACTCAGTCGAGCCCTTCCAGGACGTGGAGTCCTATCCGCCCCTTGGCCTGACTCAGTCCTCGCCCAGCAGGGAGAGTCCACCCTTCCTCACCACCGCTGGAACCTTCTCCTTAGCTGCCCTCAAATTGAAACTCTCTCTGCACCTGCATCCCTCTCACAGTCTGCATGCAGAGGCGTCGGCCCCGGGGCTTCCCAGCAGCAACTGCCCTCCCAGCCAGGCCCGGGCAGCCCTGGACACACCTCACCCTCTGAGGAAGGCTGCAGTGTCATCCCCTCACTGAGGAGGAAACAGAAACCCTGAGTGTCAGTGACCAAACCCCCCTCAAGGCCACATGGCCGACGGGTGAGGAGCTGGCACCCCCCTCTGGCCACACGTCCCTCCTGGAAGCCCGAGCTGAGCCAGTGCTGCGGGGGCGCGGCAGCCAGTGGGGTCCTGTCACCCCTCGCGGGGGCTCTCAGGACTTGGATGGAGACCCCCAGGGAGTGTGGGCTGTGCCCCTTGCCCAGGGTCTCCTGGGTGTTCAGACTGCAGACTTTTCTCTCCCACAAAGAACCTGAGCGTGCCCAGGGTGCCCAGCAACGAATAGAGCTGCCTGCCAGCCACCCTGCCCCGGGAGCCACTCAGACCCTCGCCGGCCCTCCCCATCCAGCCCACCCCGGGAAGCCCTGAACCCTGTCGAAAGGCCCAGAGAGTGCCTGGGGAAGCAGGCGGGGCGCCCTTACTTGATCTCCGTCTGGCCGCCTGCCTTGCGGGCGATCTGCACCAGTTCCTTTCCGTACCGCTCCTCTGCCTGGGCCCTGCAACGACAAACCCCCGGGTACCGGTCTTGTCCACGGCTGCCGCCTGAGGCTCACCCTCAGATGGGCACAGCCGGGTCACAAGGTATGCCCGCGCGGGACTCTGGCCCTGCGGACGCCTCCTTGAGATGGTTAAGCCTCCGGCCCTTCCTTTAAATAAATGTTGGCTGAATTCAAGCACATCTGATGGGACATCAGATACATTTGCCCACTTCGGGGAAGGCCCAGGCTGGGAAAAACAGGGGAATCACACTCCTGACTTCTTAGAGCAGGGGTGGCCTGCAGGGGCCAGGCTGGCCTGGGGGCTCCCTCCCCTCCCGGTGCTCACCTCTGTCTCAGCAGCTCCTCCACGTCCTTGCACATCTTCCTGCCATCCAGCAGCCGCTGCAGCAACACTTCGTAGCCCGTGTGGGCGGTGAAGTCCCTGCACTGGGATGCAGGATAGAGGGCGCGTGAGGGCCACCGCCGGGGAACGGACCCCGCTGACCGCCGCCAGGACCCGGCTTCCCTGTCAGCCTCCATCTCCCCTAAGGACGAGCTCTTCCTTAGCATGTGGCTTCACCCAGGCACACAGTGGGTCCCCCGATCGGTGGAGGCACCAGGGGGAGCCCTGCGGGGATCAGAGCTCACAGTCAGGACGCTCTAACCTAAGACGGCCTTGGGAAGGGCCCCCACCACAAGGCCCTGTGATGACAGCCTTGGGGGGTGCCTGGCACCGTTCGCCCCTGTCGCCTTCTCAAGAACCCTCTTATCTCAGGTGCCCAAGTGAGAAAACTGAGGCACAGATGGGTGAGGTGTACCCAGGGTGACGCAGCCTGAAAGCAGCAGGCCTGGCATTGAACCCAGGCTGTCTCAGGCCCACACCCTTCAGTCCTACCCTCTACGGCCTCTGCAGAGAACAGCAATTGCCGTTCTCTGACAATCCACCGTGTGCTGGACGCCACATCGGGCTCAACCTGTGGGCTCAGGGGATCCTCCTGCACCCACTGGGTGGAGTGAACATCGAGGGTCAGGATCCGGCTCTCACGGTGCTGAGAGTCGGGTTTCTGTGCCTCTCAGCCTGGCTCCCATCCATTTTTGTCCCCCATCCATTCTTGAGGAAGGACCCCAACCCACCAGGGTGCTCAGCCAGGCAACTGGGCAGTCCCATAAGGCAGCACCTACTTGTTTTCTTTTCCATTTCCACAGACCATCCCCCATCATGAGCCACAGAGATGGGGGGAAGGAAGCCCCCACTTCCCTGATGCACACTCCACAGCCCCGTCTCAGAGCTTAGTGAATCAGCAGGTCTTTCCCAAGGCGGCACACACTTGAGTCAAGAGCTGGCCATGTTGCCCCATGCCTCCCCTCAAATGCTGTGTTGTGGGTGTGTGGGGAAAGGTGGGGAGAAGTCTAAATCAAGGAGAGCTTCCTGCAGGAAGAGGTATTTGAGCTCGGCTCTGGGCTTCACAGGTGGCGCTAGTGGTAAAGAACCCGCCGGCCAGTGCAGGAGACATAAGAAACATGGGTTCAATCCCTGGGTTGGGAAGATCCCCTGGAGGAAGAAACAGCAACTGATTCCAGTATTCTTGCCTGGAGGGTCCCAGGGACAGAAGAGCCTGGCAGACTAGAGTCCATGGGGTTGCAAAGAGTCAGACACGACTGAAGCAACTTAGCATGCACTGGGAAGAGAAGGTGGTGTTTTTTCAAGGTCTAAGGAGAATCGGACACGGTAGAGAAAGGCAGAGAGGCCACAAATTGTACCAGCTGGCCCCGTGACAATCCCAGCCCACCTTCAGTCAACTCAGAACAGTGGAATCTGCTGGCCCACAGAATGGTTAGGATCCCAAGTGCATGCCTCCTCCATAAGCAGCCCTAGAAGTTCCCAAGACCAGGCTCAGCTGCCCACAGGCTGATGAGCAGCGGGCCTGGGTCTTGGTTGGCTACTCAGGGCCCCAGGCAGAGTGGTCATCCCCCAAGCCCCACATGCCTCTCTGCCCCAGCATCTAGGCTGGTGTGGCTGCCCCAGGCTCCATTTCTGTAGCTTTCGTGGGCCACTCGCTACTAACCAGGCAGCAGACCACAGCTTCCTGCCCCAGCCTCCCCACCCTGCCCCTGCGGACCCCCAAGACAAAAGCCAGCGGCAGCCAGGGAGGAAGACGGATCCTTTCTGCTCCTTCCCCGGCCTTGCCCTCTCCCCCTGAGGGCTCACTCTGAGCTGGAAACTACAGACCACCAGAACTAGGAAGCGTCTTGTCCCATGTCCCTCAGTCCTTGGGGAAACTGAGGCCTAGAGAGGGGAAGATGCGCCTGAGGTCCCATAGGCAGAGCCGGAGGAGGACCTGAACTTGCAGGCCCTGTTGTTACCCCGCCATGCCTCTTGGGGAGGGGAGGGCTGACCAAGCCCAGCCCCGCAGCAGACTCTCTGCTCTTTCCTCCCAGCCCCCACTCCCCAGAGGAACCCCACTGTCATTTCAGAGACCCCCGAGTAGAAAGAGAAGCAAAACCAAACCTACATTGGCCATTCTGGAGGAGGTGGCAGGCAGAGGGGCCCTGCAGGTGAGGTCCTCGGAGCTCAAGTCCCCGAAGTTCTGCAGACTCTAGAATCTGGCCCAGCCTTGACTCAGAGCAGGTGGGGCTTCAGCTGGGTGAGCCACCGTCACCAGTGAGTATGTTGTTCCAAGGAAGTGCCGGACTCCCTGGGGGCTGTTCTCAGCTGGCCTGCACGGCCCCCCCGGCCACCCTACCTCAGCTGCCTCCTCCAGGGCTTCTGACTCAGGCCTCAGAGCAGGGCAGAGTGGGGCTCAGGAAGCTGCCGAGGAAACTGATCAGTTAATCGATCAGTCCTGCAGGCTCCCCGCCCTCCAGGGGCCCACCCTGGCCTTTCCTCCCGGCTAGGCCCTGTTGTTACCCCGCCATGCCTCTTGGGGAGGGGAGGGCTGACCAAGCCCAGCCCCGCAGCAGACTCTCTGCTCTTTCCTCCCAGCCCCCGCTCCCCAGAGGAACCCCACTGTCATTTCAGAGACCCCCGAGTAGAAAGAGAAGCAAAACCAAACCTACGTTGGCCATTCTGGAGGAGGTGGCAGGCAGAGGGGCCCTGCAGGTGGGGTCCTCGGAGCTCAAGTCCCCGAAGTTCTGCAGACTCTAGAATCTGGCCCAGCCTTGACTCAGAGCAGGTGGGGCTTCGGCTGGGTGAGCCACCGTCACCAGTGACTATGTTGTTCCAAGGAAGTGCCGGACTCCCTGGGGGCTGTTCTCAGCTGGCCTGCACGGCCCCCCCGGCCACCCCACCTCAGCTGCCTCCTCCAGGGCTTCTGACTCAGGCCTCAGAGCGGGGCAGAGTCGGGCTCAGGAAGCTGCCGAGGAAACTGATCAGTTAATCGATCAGTCCTGCAGGCTCCCCGCCCTCCAGGGGCCCACCCTGGCCTTTCCTCCCGGCATCTACCTAGCCACAGCCCGTAGGTATCCTGGGTTCGCTTTCAACCCCCTCTTTACAGGCTCAGATGGACATTTCCACAGTGTGGAAGCTACGAGAAGGCAGGGCCTCCCACCTCTCTGTGTCCCCCTGCAGCCTCTGTCACCTGAGACCTGTCTCTGGCCTTGCCTTCGGTGAAATAGCCATTTATTGAGTCCACCAGCCACACACGATACCAAGAATATCACAGCTGTTTTCTTATTGCAAAACAGCACACACCCAGGGAGTTAAGGACGATGAAGAGGAGGAGGAGAGGGTAAGTGATTGCCCAGGTTCCCTCAGCTGGTAAAGATCGGAATCTAAGCTATGAACGCAGGCCAGCTTGTCCTCCAGGCTTCCCAGGGACCCTAGTGGTATAGAAGCCACCTGCCAGTGCAGGAGACATGAGAGACGCAGGTTCGATCCCTGGGTTGGGAAGATCCCCTGGCGGAGGGCGTGGCTACCCCCTCCAGTGTTCCTGCCTGGAGACTCCCATGGACAGAGGAGCCTAGCGGGCTGACAGTCCATAGGGTCTCCAAGAGTTGGACACAACTGGAGTGAGTGAGCACACACACAGTTCGTCCCCAAACCTACATCAGACATTCAGTCCAGTTCAGACACAGTCCAGCAACTCTGTTACATTTTGAAACATCAAAAAAAAAAAACTTTTGAAGATGATTACTCAGACTCCCTCTGCCTCAAACCAAAGCTGTGTTTCCGTCTGTCATTCAGTTACCATGGATTCTCAGAGGCCAGCTCTGTGCCCAGGCTGGGTCAGAGGATCGCTGCCTTGGAGAAGGGCTGGCTGGCTCTGCAGATGTGAGCGGGGAGCCAGCAAGCAGCCAGAGGCCCCACCCTCGCCATGTGGCACCTAGGGCGGTCCACCCCAGGGCAGGGTGCCAGGTGGCAGGCAGATGCAGCCCCCTCCTGGGGAGACCTCCCCCAAGCCGGATGTGGGACCCCAGGCCTTGCCATCCACGCTGGGTGGCCATTCTTGGCCTCCCTTGCCCCACACTCATCAGATCAGGGCTACAGAAGGTGTTCCAGGCTGCTCCAGACAGAGGAAGCATATTCCTGCCTCCACCTGAAGGCATTCAAGAGGCCTGCGTGCTTGGGGCTCTGGGCTCTGCTCAGGGATGGCTCACCTGCTCCCTTGGCTGGATGGCCCTGGATGTGAGCCACAGTCCAGGCCGGCAAGCCGGCCCCAGCCCTGCCATGCCCCCACTGAACAGCTTCAGAGGGAGCCTTTGTACCCACTGCCACTTCCTCCTTATCACACCCATAGCATTCTTGGTGGCTGCATTGGCTGGGCCACAGAGACCAGAGCCCCAAGCAAGTCACTTCCCTTCTCAGGACCAGGTTTCCTCATCGAGGAAGTGTATGCGGTGGACAACCTCTCCTGGCCCCAGACAGCCCACCCCATGTGGGCACAGCCCCCTCGGGGCAGACTGGCTGCCAAGTTTAGGGAGGGGGCCCAGGCCTGGCCTGAGAGACTGGACAGAGTTTAGCAGACCATTTATGGGTTCACACCCCACCCTGTGGTCCTGGGCACTCTCAGCTTCTACTTCCCTCCCTGTAACAAGAGGCCTAATGGTTCCCTCCACCTACAGTTGACCTAAGAAGTCAATGAAACAATGTACACAGATGAGACGAGGAAACACAAGGTCAGAGGTTGCCCTGAGCTGGAAACGGGGCTGACAATTATCACAGATGAGAAAAATGGAGAGGTTACCTAACCTGCTCAGAAGTCCGTGGGAAACAGCCAGGTTTTGAGCCCTGCTCTCCCAGGCCAGATCTTAGCTCATCTCCTCACCTCTCTGCAAAGCCCCAAACCCAGTGACTGTTCAGCAAGAGTAGCTCCCCACGCCTTGCCCTGGCCCCACCCGGCTCTCACCAGACAGAACCCAGCTGCTCAAGGCTGGAAAACACCGAGTTATCACCCTACTGAGTTATACACCCTCCCCACCAGAGGGTCCATTTAAAAGGCTACAGAAGC